CCTGCAGACATCAAAAGGATAGTAAGGGAATACTACAAACAACTCTTCACGTGGAAATTTGACAACTTAGACGAAACGGACCAATTCCTCAAAGAATGCAACCTCTGCAACTCATTCAATACAAACCGGATAATTTGAATAGCTCTATACCTTTTAAGGAATGTCCAGGTCCAGATGATTTCACTGGAGAATTCTATCAAACGTTTAAAGAAAAGTTAACACCAATTCTATGTGACTTTCCTCCCAGAAAATCGAGGCGGGAATACTTCCCAGTTCGTCTTATGAAGTTAATATTACCCTGATACCAAGCCCAGACAAAGATAGTTTCAAAAAAGGGACAGATCTTTTATAAACATACATAGGAATATCCTTAACAAAATATTAGCAAATCGGATTAAAAAACAAAGCAAACCACCACATCATTACCAAAGAGGGTTGATTACAGAGATGGGAGGCTGGTTCCATATTTGAAATTCAATCAGTGTAATTCACCATATTGAAATCTTATGATCATATCAGTCAATGCAAAAAAGAATTGATAATATCATTCATGGTCAAATTCTCAAAAAATAAGAATAGAGATAAATATCCTCATCTCAATGAAGAGCATCTGTAAAATTCCTTTTTTACTGAATAGTGAAAGACTGATTTGAATGCTATCGCCTAAGAGAGGGAACAGGGCAAAGATGCCTACTCTCACCACTCTTAATTCAACATAGTCCTGGAAGTTCTAGCCAATGAAATAAGGCAAGAAAAGAAAATAAAGGCATGCAAATTGAAAAGGAAGAAACAAAACTGACCCTAAGACGACAAATTGCCCCAAATATAAAGGAATCTAATCCCACTAAAAAATCCTAGCACAAATATGGGAGTTCAGCAAGATTGCAGGACATGAGATAAACATACAAAAATCAACTGGAACTTTAAGCAAATATAATCATTTGGGATGATCTATGGGAGGAGGTAGGACTTAAAGAAGTTCTCTCTACATAATCATGCGAACCCTACAGGAAAAGCTTTATAATAAAGCTCTGTGGTTTAATTTACTCTTCCCTTAACTTCCTTTTCCCTTCTATAAATAAGCCTCCATCTTGCATGCAGGCCAGAGTATATACCTGAAAAAGAATAAAGTGGGAAAAATCAGTTTACCCTGATTTTAAGACTTACTGCGTAGCTACAGTAATTACCACTGTGGTATTGGTAGAGGGAGAGACACTAGATCAATGAAACAATGGAAAATCCAGAAGTAGACCCACACAAATATGCCCAATTGATTTTTTTTTTTTAACCTTACATGCATCCAACTGATTTTTGACAAAGGCGCAAAAGCAATTGTGAAAAGGTTAGCTTTCAAGAAATGATACTGGAACAATTGAACATTGATGGACAAAAAAATGAACATTAACCCAAATCTCACACCTTTGACAAAAATTAACTGAAAATGGTTTATGGACTTAAATG